TGATGTATAATGGCATTTTCCTTTGTTTTATATTCTGATATATTATTCAATCTATCATTTTAGCTTTGTAAATGAAGGGGTAGAATGCACAACGTCTCTCTTCAAAACCCGTTTTCCAAGGAAATTTTAAGTAGAGTTCATTACACTCCTTATTGTTCAATGGACATGTAATGGTTATTACACTTTATGTTTCTATCGGACATTCTGTCCAACTTGTCGTCGATGCTATCTTTGCTTTCCATAAAATTTCACTTTTAAAAAGAACATGTAATTCATTGAACCTTGGGTGATTTCGGAGGTGATGTTAGCTGGATTCTATGCATTTTTTGAACGTTGTTTATTGAACTGTTTTACTCATTTTTTTAGAATCTATACTGTGCCATGGCACTTGAACATACGTATAATGCTCTATACCTGAATGGTAATCAGGTTGGACGTAACTGAGAGTGGCTTAGCTGCCCTTGTTCGACTTTGCACTGGTGATATGAGAAAGGCTTTAAATATTCTGCAGGTAAGTGTTTTTATTTAAGTATTGTTCTCTGGCTTTGGTGGTTTTGTTTTTTTTTCTTTTTTTCAGTTCAATATGGCGGTGTGAGGGTTTGAACCTCAGACCTAAGATCGATGGTATACACCTTATGCTAGTTGAGCTTTGTTCAATTTGACATATTAAGTCATAATAAAGTGTTAAGTGATGGCTTAATTTTACTAGAATTTAGAAATATGGTATAAATGGAAAACACATCATGTCCGTAATATGAGATGTAGGAAACTTGTTCCTCTTTATTAAAGATTAAGACTGTTATCTTATCCTGTTACACAATCACTGTTAAAGTGGTTTTTCACTGCTCTATTTTTCACCCTTACCTTCTTAACTAATAACGTCCATGGACTGCAGAGATAGACGTTAATCACTACTTGAAAATTTGGAGGAAACGACAAGGACAACCCTAGAGTAATGGCTTAGCGACCCTAGTAAAAACTAGCACCTCTTGAACACACGACCCATTACTTGAAAATTTGGAGCAAGTGATAAGGACAACCCTAGAGATATTGCTTAGCAACCCTAATAAAAATTAGCATCTCTTAAATTAAAAACTTTTTTACTCACCGGATACCACTCAAAGGGAAGCAAGATCTTTATCGTTGATGATCAAATACCTCGTGGAAGAAGGCTAGTTCAAATCAAATGATCAATCACTCCACAAGTTTGGTGATCAACCAAAAAAAACTAAAATCCATAACTATTACAAGTGCTTAACCAAAACTTCAAGTCATCCCATGTAACAACCCAAGCCCACCGCCCACCACTATCAGATATGGTTCTCTTTAGGCTTTCTCTCAAGGTTTTAAAAATGCGTTTGCTAGGAATAGGTTTCCACACCCTTATAAAAAATGCTTCGTTCTCCTCCCAAACTGATGTGGGATCCCACAATCCACTCTTGGAGCCCAACGTCATCGCTGGCACTCGTTCCCTTCTCCAATCGATGTGGGACTCCTCAATCCACCCCCCTTCGGGGCTCAACCTCCTCGTTGTCTGTTAGGAAGAGGTTTCCACACCCTTATAAAGATTGTTTCGTTCTCCTCTCCAACCAATGTGGGCTCACCCTTATAAAGAAGCGGAGAAGCCCGAAAGGGAATGCCTAGAGAGAACAATATCTGCTAGCAGTGGGATTGAGCCGTTACATCCCATCTTCTTGATGCTTTTTTTTTTTTTTCTTTCTGTGGTTTTAGTTCATATCAGGAAGTTTCAAGGGTTTAACTTTATCTAGTATTCTCTATAATTCATGTGTTGAAGTCTCACAGAATTGAGCTGTGATTTCAGCAACAAAGAAAAGAAGAAAGTAATTCAAATATATACTAACCATTTGCAGTTCTTTTCTTCTGTTAGTACTATGAGAAATGATCAAACTATGAATAAGAAAGGGCTTAAACCTCTGCACAGCAATCAGCATGTTTTGGAATTTGGACCATTGTGTACCCTTAAAATCAATGCATTCGTGCAACATTCTGTTACAACTCGTAGATCAATAGATGACATTTACACACGTTATTTAATTCATTAGTTGTTACTTTGTGAACCTGTTGACTTTTTCGAAATTGTGTCTTTTTTACGTAGTCAACACATATGGCTTCCCAGCATATTACCGAAGAAGCTGTCTATCTCTGCACAGGAAATCCATTGCCTAAAGACATAGATCAAATATCCTTTTGGCTGCTGAATGAACCATTTTCTGACAGTTTTAAGCGTAATTGGTTTTCTTTGGAGCTTTCCATTTATTTTGATGTGTTTTTCCAGTTTTATTTATTTCTACCTATCTCGTTTACAGGAATATATGAAATAAAGACCAGAAAAGGATTGGCTTTGGTTGATATAGTGAGAGAAGTCACTCTGTGAGTGCTTTTTCTTATTTTGTATCATTTCTAAGTGATGATTTGTGCTTGACTTTCCTCTCTGCTCAATTTATGTATAGGTTTGTTTTCAAGATCAAGATGCCATCGGATGTCAGAGTTCAGTTGGTTAATGATCTGGCTGACATAGAGTATGCATCCATCTTTCTACTCATATAATTCCTCGTTAAATTTTATTATTTTATTATATTAAAATATATATGATCTGCAAAATAATGGACACCGTCGTCAACTTGAACAAACATTGAAAAGTACTCGACTTTTTGATGTCGATGTTCAACATACGCATATATTCGACAATAAGTAAACCAGAAGGTTTAAAAATTTTGGTTTATTATTATTATCATCATCATTTGGATAAGGAAGAGCTTAGTAAGTTAAACGAGGATTTTGACTATAAGTAGAAAAGGACAAGGGAATCTTAGTTTCCTATCCAACTTCTAAAACATTCTTTCTCAAGCTGAAAACACTTCTCCAGCTGTATTCCCTTTACGTGCACTATCATAGAATTATGCTGCAGTTTCTTTATGGATAAACATGAAGGACATTCTATCATATGATTTGGTGTTATCTTCTGATCTTATCTTTTCAGTTTGAAAAAGCATGGTCAACTTCTGGGCCTAACACATAGAATTATTTCTAACAAAGCTTTGAACATGAATCAATGATCTCATTAGTTGAAAATGACTTGGCTAATTAGCATATACTTGCATTGTTTGTAAGCTGTAACCTCACCCAACTGTACAATGAATTTATCCCACTTATCAATGGAATATATTAGATTTTAAAGCTTTCAAAGACCTGGAGATAATGACTTGTCATGACTTCTTTTTAACGAGTATGAATGTAACAATCTAAGCCTACTATTAGCAGATATTGTCTTCTTTGGGCTTGCCCTTTTGGGCCTCTCCAGACGCGTTTTAAAAACTTTGAAGGGAAGCTCGAAAAGAAAAGCTCAAAGAGAACAATATCTACTACCGGTGGGTTTGAGCTGTTACAATGAAGAAGGAAATAAGCAACGGAAGTCCATTTTTGCACCCATGAGATTTCTTAACTTGATCAATTGTATGTGTGTTATGTTTTTTAATCTGTTACTGAATTAACCGGTTTGAGTGGGTGCTATTTGTAGGTACAGGATGAGTTTCGGATGCAATGACAAGTTACAACTCGGATCGCTCATCTCATCTTTTACCCGAGCTAGATCTGCACTTATCGCTGCTGCACAGTAGTTTTCGTGAAGCGAGATTTTGTAACGTGTTAGGGCATTTTGTTCACCAACCATCTGTCACGCTCGTGTGCATGGATTAGGTATGAACTGTAGAGAATGTGAACATGTTCTTCATTTGACTTCCAGCTTTTGGTGCTAAAAGTAAATGCTGACATTGATGTTCTTTGTATGGGAAGGAAATGTAATATTTGGAGCTTTGAAAGTCTTGAAGAAAAGGTTAGATAACATTTAAAGCATTTATTTGATCTTGTTGGACTGGTTCACTTCCAATATTTCGGCACATGCTTTATCTTTAACAGTAGTTTGTCCACAACCACCTCATGCGTGCTGAATTTGTTTGTTGCATTATTGAGCTATAAAATACTTTTTTCTTCTCCTTGTGGGTTGGCGATTGTTTATTTGACTTTCATTGAAAATAAGAAAGAATTGTATTCTTCTAGATAAGCATGGATCAGTTGGTTGGATAACGCCTTCTACTAAAGATGGGGTCGGGTGGGGCGTGGGGCGTGGGGTGGGGAAGTAAAGGAAAAAAGTTGGTGATGTGGTATATAATCTTCGTAACATTCTAAGTCTATAACTAGTAGATATTGTCTTCTTTGAGCTTGTTGAGGATGCGGTATATAATCTTTGTGTAACAGTCCAAATCTACGACTAGTAGATATTGTCCTCTTTGAGCCTTTCCTTCTAAGCTTCCCCTCAAAGTTTTAAAATACGTCTATTTAGGGAGAAATTTTTACATTCTTATAAAGAACGTTTTGTTCCAGTCTCCAACCAATTTGAGATCTTATACTCCGTCTTCAGACTTTGTTTAACTAATAAAGGGAACTTTTTCCTCACAGAGATTTTCCGCGACTTATTCGGAGCACGTTCTTATAGGTAACTTTTTTGCTTTTTATATTTTATGAATTATTATTATCTCAAGGTTCTCTGTTTTGCAGCAATTATTGACATTTAAGAGGTTTGAATTCTGAAATTTGAGATCTTGAATTTTATAAATCATAATTTGAGATCATCAACACTAAAAACGTGTAATTTAAACGATAAGAAGTATATATTAATTAAAATTAATTATTTACTATTAATCTGAAAACGTCAACACTAAAAACGTGTATTTTGAAACTATACCAAACGTTGTACAGTTATAAGAAAGATGTATTAATTAATGATTATTTATGTTTTGCAAGCTTTTATATTCTTAAAATTATTTAAATTTAAGGTTAAAAAACAAAATTTAAGATGAACTTAAAGTGATTTTTTTTCCGCCTATTTTTGTGGCATTTAATTGAAAAAATTGTCTAATTTATGAATAAAAATGAAAAAAAAAATCTCCATAATTTAATTCAAGATTTTAATATGGTAAATGGAAAGAAATTAAATGTGAACTTGGTGGACTACACAGCCATATTTCATTTATATATGGTGTATTATACAGCCAATTGTAACGAGCAATGTCAGATTAAACGTCGCCCGTCCGATCTAAATCCACAAGTGGACCCCACAATCGACCCCCCTTTCTACAATAAATATCTCCAGTCTGTCTGTCCCCGTATTCTATATTTTTCTCCTCTATACGTGGCGCACTCACAGACTCCAGTCTCGTGCGACCGTCGGATTGAGCGAACATCAACGACTGTCAGTGAGTTCTAAGATTCAAAGAACGACTTTATGATGGATGTTGAAAAATGAGAATCAGACGGCGGTAATTCAAAAGGGTTTCTGCAGGTACATGAACATATCCTGTAGCGGCGACATCTGATTCCCGCTCTGAAACTGCGTTGCGAATTCATGGTCCAGTGAGGTATCAATGTAATTATATCGAAAATTAAAGGCATTTTCCATTTCCTTCCATTTTGGCTCGCTCTGAACTTCGCTTGTCGTGAACTCCGGCGACACCACATGCTCCGAACAGCTCGAATCCGTGTTCAATCGCGGTATTGAATCCGATGTCTCGAAATGTATGTAATCGCTCACCGACGCCGGCGCCTCCGTCGCTGCCGGCATGAACGCATCGCCGCCGTACTGATTGGCGAGAATCGTCGGCTTCTTGTCTTCCTCTTCGAAGCCGTCCGTGATTTGATTGACGGCGATCGGATGTCGCTTCTCGATTACGCCTTTCTTGTTGTAAATCCGGCAAAGAACCCAATCGTCAAGCTGAAAAATCACAACCGTTGATTCAGATTTTTTTTTTTAATAGAGAAAAAAAAAACCCTCAAAATTTGTTCGACGAAAATTACCCGAAGACTGCTCTTGTTGCGAGCCGACCGGTCCACGCCGGCGAGCCGGTACTCGTGCATAATCCAGTTGGTTTTCTCCCCTCTCGGTGCTTTTCCGGCGTAGAACACCAACGCCTTCTTGATTCCAACCGGTTTGGGTTGTCCGACCGGCTTGTCGGCTCCAGTCGCCTTCCAATAACCCGAACCGGCAGCTCGGTTCGGTCGCGAACCGTTCGGGTATTTCCGGTCTCTAGGAGAAAAGAAATACCACTCTTTCTCTCCGTGCAAAGCCAGTTCTGTAAAACCGAACCGGAGAAATGAATCGACGGTAAGAATCAAGATCGGAGTAAATTTCTCATCCAAATTTTCGAGTCAGTTACCTGGAAGTTCCCAAGGATTGAATTTATAGAGATCGATCTCAGCGATGATCGGAACGGCAATCGGCTGCGACGCACATCTCCGGCAGAGATAGTGCATAACCAGCTCCTCGTCGGTCGGATGGAACCGGAAACCGGGCGGCAACTGAGGCAACTCGGCCGTCATTTTCTGATTCTCTAAAAAATCTCTCTGATTTCTCCGGTGTCCGGTTAATTATTTGTCTCGAGTGAATGTTATGAGCTTCGTCGGCGGTTCAAACATGGAAACAAAGGATGGGATGGCTATTTATAGAAGTCGGGAGAGGGACACGTGGCGTAGAGAAGGGGAAAAACACGTGGTATATAATGCATTTGATTGTCGACGAGAGAAAACAAGCGCCGCCTTAAACACGTGGCGGATGAGGACGTGAAGTGCATGCGTGGCCAATGGACACGCATGCAGGTGATTTTGTCATCGCTTACGCACATTGTTTTGGATTAAAGCGCCAACAGAACACTGCAGATTCCATCACTCGCCTCACACAACCAAGAGAAAATTTGCGTGATCTATATTTTTTTATTAATTAAAAAATAAAATCAGCCGATATTCTCTCTCTTTTTTTAATATATATATATATATATATATATATATAATATTCGCATTAATTAAATAAATTGTAGAATCTTTTTATTTAATCATTTCATTTCTTAAATTTTTTAATTTTCCATAGTTTTTTTTTCCTTTCAATTTTAGTTTATAAATTTATATATATATATAATTAATTAATTAATATTGAGAATAAAATTTGGCCGGTTAATACCTCGAGCCGCCCATGGACCATGAAGAAGAATATGGGAAATAATAATTGAAATACTTTATTAGTTGGACTAAAAAATCGCCGTGGAATTCCCATAAATCGCGGGGTTGAATGTCGTTTGTAGCTTATTGGATATTGAGCCCACTTTTTTTAACGGTGGATTTGGAGTACACGTCAGCGTACCCATTTTTCATCACCCTCTGCCGTCATTCTACTGTGTTCCCGGCTTTCCTCGAACCTCACATTCATCTCTATCGCTATATCTTTTTTTTTTTTAAAATATTAGTAATTAATAATGTTTGACCAATTAAAAAAAAAATTCCTTTTGACAAAATTCTCAAATTAAATTCTCGCAACTAATAAAGTGGAATCTATTAATTTACTCGATGAATAATTTTTTTAATGCATTGTCTTATGTTTATGAAGTGGTATTTTTAAATATTCTTAAATTTCTAAAAATTTAAATAATACTTTTAATTTTTTTATTCAATAATATTTTATTTTACAAGTACTTTTGAATTTTTAAATTTTCATTAAAGTTAAAAAATAAAATAAAACTTCAAACTTTTTTAAAAGTTAAAAAATACCTTTATTTTTGCCAGAATCCTAATAACATAGAACTTTAATATTTTTTAATATAAAAAGTTTTAAAGATATTAATATTATTTTTAAAATTTATGAATATTTTTTAAAATAATGTTTGTTATATAAATAAATTTTATAAACAAGAATAAGAACAATCTAAAATAAATATTTGGATATTTTAACTCTAACTTAATTACACGTGTCTAACTTGTTTCCTAAGTAACCTTTTTGTCGTATAGGAATATGGTTATAAAGTCAACAGACTCGGTGGACCCCGCAAGATGTCTTTTTAAGCGTTGATGGTCTATGTGTGTTCAAGCTTTTTTCGTTTTTATCTTTTTTTTTCTTAAAAAAAAAAAATATATATATATATATTTATATTTGTTTTTTTCGAGAAATACGTGTGTTTAATTAAGTTGATTTGTTGGGTGAAAAGGATAACCGTGTGCATGAATTTCAATGGTGGCGCCGCCCCATTTTGAAACTACTTGGAATCCTAACCTAATTTTATAATGCATACCAGCGGTAATAATTCAAACTCACTATTAATAGATATTGTTTGTTTTGATCTATTAAATATGAAAACGTTTCGTTTCTCTCTTTAATCGATGTGGGATCTAATAATCCACCTCTTGGGAATTTATAGTCGTGAAATCTAACAATTCACCCCCGAGAGCTTAATGTTGTCTCTCACTCTAATCGATATGGAATCTAACTATTCACTCCCTTTGGGAGCCCAATGTTCTTGATGACATAATGTCTTGCGTTTGACTTTAATACCATTTGTAACGCTCAAAGTCCATTGTTAACAAATATTATCCGTTTTTGCTCGTTAAGATCGTCGTTAGCCTCACTATTTTAAAACACGTTTATGAAAGACTACCTTTTTAATTCCATCTCCAATAATAATAGAAATATTCTCCATTTAGTTTTTATGAATATTATGAAAGCCTATATTCTTCCCATCTAACAATATAGTCAACTTGAATTATATTCCAAATTTTATCAAATTTTTTAAATATTATTTTTATTTTTGTAATTTGAAAAATAACGCTAATATTATATTTATTTAAATCCTACAAATTGCAATGCAAAATATGCGTTAAAATTTATAACATTTATTTACATTTACGGTACAATTTAATAAAATTAAAAACTGATGATAAAAATTATTAAATAATAGTTTAATTTTTTTTATTAAAAAAGTGTGTTTGTATCCACTATATATATATTATTTATTTTAAAAAAAAAAGGTAGGAAAAGACAAGAATAGCCCTCCTCGTTCCTGTTCTATCCAGTCGACATCTCTATGAACGAAAAAGACGGGACGTTTGGAAGGTATAAGAAATGATAAAATTAAATAATAATAATAATAAAAATAAAATAAAAAAAAAGGACACAAAAATAAAATTATGCATGTAAATGCATGCATCTTGACTGCTTTTTTTTTTATCTGTCATTTTCTTAAATAAATAAATCAATAAATAAAAGCTTTGGAAAGCAACTAAAATTATTTTATTTGCACTATTTCTGCCACACGCTTATGAGTAAAAAAAAAATGTTTTTTTTTTAAATTATTTTATTTTATTTATTTATAATTTATTTATATCTACGCATGCCCAAAGTTGTCAATCAGCCCTCACAACTTTATTAGAATTAAAAATAGTAAAGCTATAAATATTAGAATTAAAATAACATTTTTGGACTATATTTCAAATAAAATAAAATAAAATGAATTTTTAGAGTTTTTTTTCTTTCTTTTTTAATAACTTCTAAGATCGTGATACAAGTTGATTATGATAAGCTTAAGTTTCGTCAACAATTGATTGGACTCCGTTCTTAAAATGGTCTATTTTCACTAAAAGCTTGAAGAATCATTATTTGGTGCTAAAACTAGTCATCACATCAATCACATCGAAAGACCATACACGAGGATTAAGTCCGAGTTGTTTGCCACATGTGTTGGGAATCACAAATGTCCGTTTTGGTCAATGAATTTAAAAGTCCTTAAAATAGGTTGTGATTTAACATTTTATTTTCACCGAACAAGTTAAATTCCATGATTCTAAACTCCCACAAAATAAAAACAACGATTCACGGTTTCCGTTGGTTTAGATCTCAAACAACGAGTTCATAGAATAATTTGTATTAAGTTAATTTCTTTATGAAACATCAATAAACAGTTTTATTCTATATATTGACGATAATAATTTATTTATTATTTTTTTTTCTATTAAAATTTTGTGAGTATTTTTTAAATATATTATTGCAAGACTTTTTTAGTTGGAGTTTTTTTAAAATTTAAAAGTTTTTGAAATAAACCATAAGTTTGCTAAAAAATTAACATTAAAGGTTTAAATATATTCTTTTTAAGATAAAATATAAAATTGGAAAGTATTTTTTAATTAATTTATCCTTTCAAATGAAATAAAAATATAAAATTTGAAAGTATTTGTTTTTTTTATATTAATTTATCCTTTAAAATAAAAGTAATGTGAAAAGCTCAAACTTGGGTGTTACGAAGGTAGCGGTTCGATCGACATCCAGTTGTGTTCCAGAGCAGACAAGCATATGGTCCACACCGCACCCATGTCTTTCACTTTTCCTCTCTCTTAAATTCTGTCCAAGTTAATTGCACTCTCCGCTTTGTTTCTTCCACTAAACCCTAAACCCCCAAACCTTACTCTAAGGGCGGCGCCGCTGTGACTTCTCTCAAGTCTATCTCGACCCCATCTTTCTCATTTCTCTATTCAACCATGCCTTATCTTCTTACATTAAATTATCCATATGTTTGAGCATAATATTGAAACGACACGACCGTGTTTTCCATTCATAAGAGATCATGAAAAAAATTATGCTCAAAATAGATTAGATCAATAGGTAATTGCGGATCGCTTAAAAGTGTTATTATTTCTTGTCTACCCATGTGTCCTAGACTTAGCACGGTGCCTAAGAACTGTTTGGTAATAATCATAACTATATGTCTTAGACTTTGTGCCTAAGATCGACCACTTTTATTCGGAACCTAGATGAATACGTTGGAGTTTCACTAAACTATAGTTATTGAGGACGAATTTATAAGATTTTAGTATAAGAACATTTATTTGACCCTTCCCCTTTTGCCATTTGAAATATCACAGTTTTGTGAGAGATTATGCATTTTTAGAAGCCTTGGGGGATGAAACTTCTGTGCCACATATTGGACAAACCCTTTTGGTTTGAACCCATTTTACTATACAGTCTGAATGGTAAGGATGCTCACAAGGAAGGGCAGCCAATTCTTCACCATCCTCATATTCAACTTGGCAAATCACACACCGATCTATACCACTTGTATTTTCGATGCTTCGAAACTTGCTCGAGTGCAAGCATGAAGGTATTTCGTTCGACGGTAACCCTCTCTTTTCTTCTCCAATGAATTCCCCTAATGCAATCAACTCTTCATAGGTTAGTTCATCGAAATCAAAATCCTCAAATCCCTCCTCGTCATCTTCGTCCATATCTTCGTTTTCATCAGTAGTCTCCTCATTATCTGCAAGAAATTGGCTTTGCAAGGAGGCATTGGTGTCGAGACCATTGTTGCTATTGGAATCAGACCTTTCGTCTTCGTCGCTATCACTTTCGATGGTCCCAAGCGTCGTATAGGCCATCTCATGCTCCTGCTGCTGCATTGCCAAGGCCATGATCAAATCTGAGTTCACTTGTTCCACATAACCAAGGGAAATCCTTTGGGGGAGCTGCTGCTTATCCTCTTGCTCTCCCATTACAAAGGATAAAAATCTTTGAGAACAGGAGCCATGGAGTAGGATATATGAGGTTGGATAAAATGCTGGTTACTTCATTGCGAGACAACTTCCATAGAAGGCAAGTAGAAACCAACTCTCATGGTCATTTCAATATTCTAGGGGCCATAAGTTTTCTTGGCAGAGAAGGCAGGTTTTGTGCAAAGGAATGGAAAGCTGTATCTTACAAGCAATATTATTTAACAGCCATTTCTTACCTTGCCTATTGGCGGTTCCACGACGGCCTCGCTTCGCTGAAAACCTCCTATTCACAACGGAGGCCGCACAACTGATTCAAGAGATGGATAAAACAATATAATAATGGAAATTTTGGAATCTAAATTGATCATTTTTGGAACCAAAAGGCACATTTCGTTTCATAAAAATTGTCTCATGTGTGTTCTAGATAAAGCCAACTCCATGCCAAATATATATAGAGCACATTACAAGTTCCAGCCTAGCATGTAAGTCTATTGCATTTCACTCACGAACTCTGTTGCCCTGGGCTGCAGCCTAATTGGAAGTAATCATGAAACACGTCATCTTTCAAACATCAGAAGAAAGATCAATCCATGCGTCCCTTCAAAATTCGTTCTTTTACTTCAGTTGGTGTACTGCAACAAAGATACATTATTAGATAATTTGAATCACAAATATACAAGGGAGGACAGGAAAAAGGTAGAAGAATGAAATGTTGGAGTCCCATATTAGCAATATAAGTAGAAGATCAAAGGGAGAACACTATCTAGATTGGTACGAGGTCTTTTGGGAAAACTAAAAGCAAAACCATGAGAGCTTATACTCAAAGTGGCCAATATCTTACCATTGTGAAGGGCCGTTGTTCCTAAAAATTCAGTAGATGTAAAAAGATACTTTTGGAATGTTGATCCAATTATCAGGGGCAACCACCACAGCTTAGATTATTGTTTTATTATTATTTTGGCTACACCATAATGGTTTAAATTCTTAACCAGAGAAAATAACAAACGATAGAGCATAAACCAGTAGAGGTGCATTTGAAAATTACATGCAAACACATCATAAAGATTGGAAATGTAAATACAGAGGTAAGGTCTGTTTGTTACTTACTTTGCTTTTGGTTCAGTTTTTAAAAATTAAAATAGTTTTCTGAAATGTTTTCAAAACCCAAGCAAAATTTTTAAAACTAGAAAAGGTAATTTTTCCTCATATGACAGTAAATAATTTTTCGTCACAAGCATAATTTTAAAAAATAGGAAACCAACATACCTCTAAAGCAGTTAATAAATTCTACAAATTTCCTCATACGACAGGTTTTGTTAAAAGTATTATCATCAATATTATTACTACTATTTTTCTTTTATAAGAAACGGTGTATTAAGGTAATATTCTGTTACAAGTACTATTATTTCATCCAAGGTAACGTGAACCATAATAATCACAATTCACAACAAACCACTTCTCAGAAAAACACACACACACACACCAATATGCTATCCAGAGAGATAATCAACCATTAAAAATCGAGAATTAAGAATAAGTGGCTTACACAACATAGACATGACCTCCCCATCCACTCAAACAGTCCCGATCAACAGAAGACAGCAGCGCTTGAGAGATGGTTTCAAATAATTCCTCTGGTTCCTGGCCATTACAAAATTGATTCGACAGAGTTAACTATATGGTTAAGATTTCACAAAAAAATTAAGGCGGGTTCTTTTTTAACCCAACAAGAATATTTTAGGCTGTCTATCAAGAGGAAAATTTAGAACATCATGCGGAGCTCTTGGCACAATCAAGTAAAAGAAACTAGAGTGGCTATTCATTCTAACAAGAGATGTTCAATTACAAATCCAAAACAGCAAGACTTGGATTTGCTTTTCAGAACCAATACCTCACAACTGGATAATTAAGGGCGCAAAGACACACCCAATGAACTAAGGAAGCTGACCGTAACAAAAATTGTAAGTTAATTTAAAGAAAGGTCTGTTGGTTAACTTAATTTTGGTTTTTCCAGATCTATAAAAAAAACAAAACCCATAAGTTGGTCGGTTTAAGTTTTCAATATTTTCAACTGTCAAGACCACAGCGCCACTTCTACATATGTGTCTTAATCTTCAATCACTCTTACTAAGAGAAGTCGTCATGTTGGCCATCTCCTCTTCAGAAACCTCAATAGTCAGATTTTTACATCACTTCATGCGTTCATCAGTCCATTGGTTATCTTCATTTTTCGTCCTCTTTTGTAACAATTCAATCCATGAGATTTATCGATCCCTTTGTTCAATGATTATGTCTGATATTCCAACTCCAACAGGAAAGATAGTGATTGGTGAACGTTTCTAATTGAATTATTATTTCTTTTATACTTCACTTTACTATTCTCTTTCCCTCTACCACAGACATGCACTAATTTCTCTACCACCTTTTATGGGTATACACTTCATCCTTCTTCTATGATTCCAGCACTGAACTGAACGGGATAACAAGTTATTTTAGATATCTTACATTCAACTGTCAGTATCCATCTGGTCAGCAAATTGACCTGACCCAAAACACTAACACTCTATGGAGATGGTAGATTGTTAAATCGAAAAGAATAAGCGAACAGGCAACTGAAATCAATTTCTTTCTCAACGCAAAGAAATTTAGAATCCCAGTGACAAATACAAAGCATATGCAAATGGATTATACCAACATACCATGTCAGGTTTAAACATCGCCTCACAAGCACCATAAAGGGACTCTGATGCAGTGCCGGAAACAACAAAATCCTTAGCAAGCTCTCTGGGACAATGAATTTGACAACGTATTAGTTTTGCATTAATTGTCCTAAATCTAGAAAATGTTTGTCACAAGAATCAGATTTCATTACAACGTGTTGCAGAGGATGCAACTTCAAGTTTGATGCACATTTCAAACAAAAATGAAGAAAGCCATATAAATGATTTAAGCAGAAATTCAAATCCAACAAAATAAAGAAGTTGGGAATAGACAAAGAAAGAAAAAAAGAGAGAACTCACTTAGCCCCAATGCAATCCATCGTGCAAATGAAGGGTTTGTCTTCATCACTCAATCCAGCAATTACAGGCTGGCAGAAGTATGGACCAAACCTACAAATAAGAAAATCGATACATTATTTTTTTATCCGAGCTAAAAAAGGCCAAATAACAGTTACAAAACTCAACCTCTTACAAAAAAAAATTATAAACTCAACCCTTGCACATTTATATCCATGGATTACCAACTAAGGCTACTTTCCAATCCAATTATAACACGACTTCATCATGGCCAGTTCTACCAAGAGCGTAATTGAGACAATAGTTTAGTGTGGTACCGAGGACCATTCATTAAAATTGAGAAGACCAGATTTCAAGCATTTGAATCTTGGAAATAGTACTTAAGCTTTTGGTATATTCATGTCATGCAATAAAAGCTAACTTACAAACGAATGAGAGGAAAGGTTAACTCTACCAATTGTGATTATCCCACAACAGTTTATGTTTCCTCCGAAAGCTAGGAGAGAGAATAAAAATTATCTTGAGACGGAGAAACTTAATCCAATACAGTTCTGTAGTTTATCCACATTTCAACTATACAGCAATTCAACTTGTAACCCTATTTTAAATAAAGTATAAAATATCTTGCATATCAGTTTAACATATATCAATTCCATAACATGGTTCGACTGCATATCTGTACTGTACTGCATCGAAGGTTCACATGTCATAAACTCTCAAGTGGCTCTTAGTGCAACGAAACATCTCTATCAAATCAGCTTACAATCTTCCACCAACAGAAAAGAATCACATTGGTAGGCAGAAAACACACACAAAAGAAGCTATGAAAATCCTAAAGAAATCTCGCCCATGTTTTCTAGTCAAGGCCGAAACATAGAGAATATGCATGATTAAAACCGCTGAAAAGGAGAAAATAAAAACTAAGTAGGTGTCCAACCTTTTCTCATAAAGACGAGCTGAGACCAGGCTAGCAAATGTCTCCGGCTTCATGTCCCTCTCTTCTCGAAGTTGGTACAGTTTGTGCTGATAGACAAGCCGTTGATACCTTCATTTCAAGGGCAGACAGATAGAATTAAGAAATGGAAAATTAAACCAAAAAAAACGATTCAACCACAGAAAACATACATTGTCTGAGCATCGGTACCAAGGCCCGAAAGGCCGAGAAACAGCTTATCATGAATCCTGTAAATTTTCTGGAAATCCGTGGCAATAGTCTGCAGTTGAACACCAAGCCTACGATCACTAGCAATGGCAAAGCAATTCTTCCCCACCATCGCAACAACAGCACTTCCATTATACTCAAAGATCTACAATGATATTCCATCATTAAAACGCATGAACTAAACACTAGCTAATACTTCCAGGAAAAAAAACGCAGTAATGATAAGAAGAGAAACGCACCGACATCTGGTCCGAAACTCAAGCTTTCCCCGATCAAATTATAAGAATCTTTGTGACATGAGAAAAGGAAGGAAAATAATTGTCAGCCAGAGCGATCGGAAATGTTCGTACCGAAATCAAAATCAAAGAAAACACAATCCCAATCCAAAACCCTAATCGTAAACAATCACAGATACAAAATGAACTGAACTTTTGAAGAAAAGATTAAATCCCAACCTGAGAGAAGAGGGAGTTGAATCGCAGAGAAGAATGCGGGAAACGAGCGACGCACTGGTTTATAGTATAGCTATTGATGGCTTGGGCTTCACTCCAACTTCTGGCTTCTCCAGCTTTCTTGTTTTCTTATTTTCTAATTAATTCTTAAAATTATCTGATTTTTTCGGGTTTTTTCTTCTAAACCCATAACCGAACCGGTGGTCTCGGTTTGTGAAAATGGACCATCGAACTAATTTGGGCCTAAATAAATTGGGCCACGTAGGAATACTGTTAGGCCCAATGATACTTTTTTTTAGAATAATTTATATATTAAACCTATTTTATAATTAAAGAGATTTAGAAGACTTACTTAAATACGAACATTAAAATATATTAGAAAAATTTTAAAATCAA